AAAAATAATTCTTATGAACAAATTTAAAGATCTAGCTTATCTGTATTTTAATTGATAAGAAAGAAGAAGGAGAAAATGTATAAAATAATGATTGTACTTTTCTTCTGTGCCCATGAAGTAATTCTAGCTATAGTTGGAAAACAGAAGTCCCAGTAAGTTTTGGTCTGCTCATTACCACAGAATAGTAGCATTGAGGCCTGTAATGTTGACTCACATGTGCAAAGTCCACCCTCTAATAGAATAAAAACTACACAAAGCAGTCAAATGACTTTTCAGTCGATCTTCACGGAGTGTTAATATTAAGGCAGAAACATACACTAACACATTTTTTCGGAAGATTTTTTTTAAAGCCTTTTATGTTCTAAGTTTAGAAAGTTAAAAGAACCAGAGTATACTGAATGTTTACATTAATCAATGTTTCACTGCATGTGCAGTGATTTTTGTGAGGCTTCTTAGTTTGTAAACACAATAATAATTAAAATTCTGTTCTCTCGTCCATTTGAAATTTACTGTGGTGGCAGAGTTTATTTTCAATCAGAAAATGATTTGGCTGACGTAGAAAATGCTTTTAAATATTAACAGATTTCTTTTTTCCTTTGAATATGGTTTCACTCAGCTGTCTAGGTAAAGAGAATGGAATAAACAACCATGCACATTTCTATTATTGTTGGTGGTGGTGGTGGTGGTTGTATGCTGTCTAGTCGGTTCCAACTCTATAAGTCTTTATTGGAGCAGAAAGCCTTGTCTTTCTTCTGCGAAGCAGCTGGTGGATTCGAACTGCTAGCCTTGTGGTTAGCAGTCAAATTCCTGGCCCACTGTGCCACCAGTGCTTCCCGTTATTCTTAATAAATCTATTGAAATATTGTGAAAATTATTTCACTTTCCTCAGACATGAAGAATTTTTATTAGTGTTAATAGCAATTTTGAAATTTTGGAAAGGATCATTTTAATTAGCTATTTTAGCATGTTTTCTTTTGAAGACTCAGTTTATACATCTGATTGGGTCATGATTTTTTTAAACTCCATTTTAAACTATTCACAAATAGTTCTACTTGTGTTTCTTTAAACTAAATTGAGAAAAAAAATGTAGTTAGAATTTTATCATATATCAATATTTTCTCCAAAACAGTGTGAAATACCATCTTCATTCTAGAATTGACACCCCCCCCCACTACTACCAATATAATTGTTGTTATGTGCCGTGGAGTTGGTTCTGACCCATAGCAACCCTGTACAGGGTTTCTGAGGCTGTAAGTCTTTACGGGAGCAGAACGCCTCATCTTTCTCCTGCGGGACAGCTGGTAGTTTTGAACTGCTGACCTTTAGGTTTGCAGCCCGATTTGTAACCACTATGCTAACAGAGCTCCTTACTGCCAACATAATTGTTGTTGTTGTTGTTAAGTGCCGTCGAGTCGGTTTCGACCCATAGCGACCCTGAACAGGGTTTCCGAGGCTGTAAATCTTTACGGGAGCAGATTGCCTCATCTTTCTCCCGCGGAGCATCTGGTAGTTTCGAACTGCTGACCTTGCGGGTCGCAGCCCAATTCGTAACCACTACGCTACCAGATCAACATAATAGGTAGTATAAAAGACACTGCTTTAAATCCTTTAGGAAACTTATTTTTGTTTTTTAGCTCATAGAAAATCTAATGTAGAATTTTAATGCCAAATGTTATTTGTTGCTGTTGTTATGTGCCGTGGAGTCGGTTCTGACTCATAGCAGCCCTGTACAGGGTTTCTGAGGCTGTAAATCTTTACGGGAGCAGAAAGCATCATCTTTCTCTCGGGGAACAGCTGGTAGTTTTGAACTGCTGACCATGAGATTAGCAGCTCCATTAGTAACCACTACATTCCTTGACAAGTGATATATAACCCTTCAATTTTTCACAATGTCATGGAGTATCTGATCTAATTCATTTCTTCTTCTTTCTCTTTCATACTCTACTAAAGTTTCAATTCCAGTGTCTTTTTAATAGTTTCATATTATTTCTTGGGTATTGCTACTTTAGTAGGTAATCAGGTAATATTGTCATTGGATACTCCAGGCACTCTTCACTGGAGATGTAGGTTAAAGAAAACAAGTAGGGAGTAAATCCAGTCACGCACAAATATGGGCAACCATATAAATATAAAAAGTCCTAACTTATGCTGCCACTTTTTAGGCTTGAAATCTCCCACTTTTGCAACTATAAGTTTTTGCATCGTGTTTTATAATTGCAGCTTTGTGGATCTGTTTTCTTCCTCCAAGGCCCTTTCTACAAATGCTTAGAATTTGTGCATATTGGTGGGTTGTTATTCATTCCAACCCAGGGATACCCTTTGTCTTGGATTCACCAAAATAAATTGAGGCATTATACTTGCATTTCAATTAAATATTTAAACACAGATCTAGAAATATGTGTTTAGGAAAGCTCAAAACTAATTGTCTTCAAGTTTCTTCCAACTCACGAGAACCATGTGTATATCAGAGTAGAACTTAGCTCCAGAGAGATTTCACTGGCTCACTCTTCAAGCCTTTCTTCCAAGGTGCCTTTGGGGAGACTCTCAGTTAGAAGTCCGGCACATCCAGGGACTCTCCTATGAAAGTGCATAATGCCCTGAAATATAATTTATACCATACTAAAAATAATCAATCTGTGAGTAGATCGGGAGATTAAGTTTAAAAAGAAAAAGTAGAAAGGGAATGATAACAAAGATTGATAACGTAGGTGACCACATCTTAATTACTCTATAGATCAGAGTTGTTAGTCCATCCACAGGAGAGTTAACTAACATAGAAACAACTTACTTGATTATTTTAATTGGATCGTTCTATAATGTCAATAATATGTTTCCCTGAAAGTTGCTTTGATTTGCTTATGAAGAATATGATTAATATTTTTTTCAGACAAAGTCTAAGCAGACTCCAAAAGAACTAATTGATTTAGTCCTTTTAGTCTAATAAAACAAAACAAAAAATTTAAAAAGTAATTGAGATGTGTTGTTAGAAGTTAACGTATAAAGGTAAACAGTGACCTGAACCTTCAACATAGTTAGCAGATAAATGTACACATATCTCTGTAATGCAGGTCAGGAAATATCTTACAATGTTGGTTAAAAGGATTGCTAATGTTTTACAGAGATTTTTTTTTTTTTTCTTTAAAAACTTAAAACATTTATTCTTTCTTTGTTATTAAACAGATTTAAATATGATTCCTGCATTTGGACTGGTTAATTTTTGAATACAGCAATGTCCTGATATGGTGCTATAGGATAAAGCATTAGACCACAAGGTCAGTTTGAACCACAAGGTTGGTGGTTCGAACTTACCAGTCGCTCCTTGGAAACCCTATACAAAATCATTAAGAGTTGGAAATGACTCGATGGCACTTAACAAAAACATACTTAAAAAAGAAAATTTTGTAAGTTAACCACTTCTTTTTATATGCTTGTTTCCAATAGTAGTAGTAATGAAGGTTTCGCTATAAATCGAGTTAAATTTAGTGAGGAACACACACAAGAAATAGATCATTTAAAAAATGATAGTTACCATTTGTATATAATCAAAATATTGAATAGTTAAGCAGGCTTCAAACCAAAATCAGAAAAGTCATTGAATTTAAATCCAAAAGTAAAAAAGCATTGGCATGTGTGGTGCCCTGGACTGCAAGGTCAGTTTGAACCACAAGGCTGATGGTTCAACCTCACCAGCTGCTCCTCGAAAACCCTATACAGAGGTTACTATGAGTTGGAAACAACTTGAAGGCACTTAACAAAAAGAAGGTCTTATTTTATAAAGGGTATTAGTTCAAAATCAAAGTGCATTCCTGTTTTCAGCCCTTTTCCCTTTATCCAATCAGGAAACATGACTGGCTACTTTCGTCATGTCTATTGCTTTACTTCCCATGGGCCATGGAAATGCAGTTAGCAAAGCCTCCCCAGTAAGACTTAATGCTCCTCAATATGGCAGCATGTCTCCTACCTGCTGTGAGGATACTCATTTCAATTAATGAATATTTTTTTAATGAAGTTATCTGGAATGTTTTATAAATGTAAAAACTCAATGATCTCATCATTGTTGCTAGCTGTGCTAGAGTCAGTAGTGTCTCAGGTGACCCCATGTGTTCCAAGTACAACTCCATAGATTTTTAAAGGCTCTGATCTCTCAGAGACAGATTACCAGGCTTCTTTTCCAAGGCACCTCTGGGTGGGTTCCAACTATCAACTTGCCAGCATGTGCTTAACTATTTGAGCCACATAGAGACTCCAGCCCCATCATTAGTCTGTTATTGTTGTGGGTCTTAAAGTGCTGTGGAGTTCGTTTTGATTCACAGCAACTGGTATAGGGTTTCCAAGGAGCAACTGGTGGGTTTGAACCACCTACCTTATGGTTAGCAGTACAGTGCCTTGTCGACAGGGCACCATTATTAGTCTAGTAAAAATTAGTGATTTTTGGTCACTGTCTATCTTATGAATTTGACTATTTTTAAGAGGTTGGTGTTGATGTTTTCTTTTGTAGATTGTCAGCAGTTTGAATGATTGATATAGTACTCTAAATTTGGAATTTTTAAGTATTTCAATACAAGGATTATAATAAGTTTTAAAATAAAATATGTCTGCATGCTACAGTAATGTTTCCAAAAGCAAACATTATTTTAATTTGTTTTATTGTTGTTTACCTTAGTAATTTTAATCCATTTCTCTTAAATATTATTGCATACTAGTTTGTTACTTGGCTGAGAAAAACTACATCTAGAGTTTCCAAAATAAAATCAAATGTTTGGTATGGAAATATGTTTTATATTGGCTATGTTCCTACTCCTTTTAAAAGGTTATTTCATGAAGGACTTGACTTGTTCTTCTCTTTTATTACTAATTCCATGACAGGGTAAGGAATAGGAAATTCTGATTTTTGAAAATTGTAGACTATTATTTTATTAAAAATAAATCAAAGACTCAAGTTAAATTGTATGTTAGTTGCTTATATGTTGCTGTTAAGTGCCGTCGAGTCAGCTCCGACTGATAGCGACCCTGTATAGGGTTTCCAAGGAGCAGCTGGTGAGTTTGAACCACCAACCTTGTGATTCAACCCAACCTTGAAGTCCAGTGCTTTATCCCACAGTGCCATAAATGAAAAAGAACTGTTAAACTTACATATTTTTCTAAACTTTGACTATTTTGTAAAACTTTATAGGAGGAATACTAACTAAAGTGTTTCTCTTTCAAGATGAATTTATTGCTGAAACACAATGCTTAGTTTTACCAAATGAAGCAATAAATTAAATAAGATAAAATGTAAGGTAACTTTAACATGGTGATTCATTTTATTTTATTTTGTTTTTCAATTTAAGAATATATGACTTAGTATAGAGTTACCTCCTAAGATCTAAAGCTTTTGTAAGCAAAAGAGCCCCACCCCACCCCCACCCCCCCACCCCAAGCTCCATACATGTACACAGCTCATACTTTTTGGTATTTACTTCACTAAGTTAAAAAATTAGAAAAGTCCTGTGGAATTTGAGATACACTCAGTATGTTAGGCTTTCAATCCCTAGGTTCTAAAGCTTTTGTAAGCAAAAGAGCCCCACCCCACCCCCACCCCCCCGCCCCAAGCTCCATACATGTACACAGCTCATACTTTTTGGTATTTACTTCACTAAGTTAAAAAATTAGAAAAGTCCTGTGGAATTTGAGATACACTCAGTATGTTAGGCTTTCAATCCCTAGGTTACATAACAAAACTATATGATAGAATTTGATGTGACTTGCTGCCAGAAACTGAAGGCAGTTTATCTTCTTTATGCATCCTGGCTTTCTTTAATAAAAAGAATCATTGAGCTTTTCATTTATATCAGATGGCAAAATAAATAAATAAATAAATGTGGCATCATTGTTCATTGTTATTATGGCTGTTTCAGGTAAAGATATGTGAAATCAACAATTCAGAGTAAAAATTTTGAAAACTGAAATTATAATCACCTTACCTTAAATTATAGTCCAGTTTAACCAAAAGGGAATGTTTTAAATTTTATTCTAAGCTATCAACTTAATATGAAACCTTTATATTACTTATTTATATTTACTTATAACATGTTTATTTTTAAAAATAGATAATCTTAAAATAGTATCTCCATGGTTTACTGTTACCAGTTTGACCCAACTTGCCAATGTTACCACCTCCTTACCTGGATATCATTATGTTTGAGGATACTGCTGATAGCCAGTTGATGATAACAGATTAAGATGATAATTTAGGATTGAATGATTTTATAGCAATATTAGAAATAAGGGAAAGGGGAGAGAAGATGTCTATCAAGCCAATATTTTTCACAAAAGAAAGGAGAGTGTGTAAGACATGTCTGGTTGAATAATTTTCTCTGAATTTTCCCTTATATACCAAGAAAATTTGCTAAAGGTTTCACTCTTAAAGACCCAGAAAATCCAGAGACCTGGCCTGTATTTGGAGATCTTATGAGTTTGTGACCTTGTTCGTTCATTTAACGTCTTGGGTCTCCTTTCCTTATCAATAAAATGAAGGAGTTGGATTAAATGATCTTTAAAGTCACCTCCAAGTCAAAGTTTCTATGAATTTTAGTGATACCTTGTAAAATAAAGAGAACACGATTTTGTAGTTAATTTGACTGGGGTTTAATTCTAAGCCAAGTACTTTATAGGTCTGTGAGTTTAGTTAAGTAAATTAGTACTTTGAACCTTAATTTCTTCATTTATGAATTAAAATTAGTATGACCTAAGTACTAATGTTGTTGTAAGCATTGAAATAATAAAGGTAAAGTAACCAGTGAAATCAGTCAAGTGATGACATCTAGGTGTTTGTGGTGGCAGTAGTTATGTGCCATGGAGTTGGTTCCAACTCATGGCAACCCTGGATAGGACCGACTTGACGGCACTTAACAACAACAACAACAACAACAACAACAAATCTTTAGGAGAGCAGAAAGCCTCACCTTTCTCCCATGGAGTGGCTGATAGTTTCGAACTGCTAACCTTGAGGTTAGAAGCCTGACTCGTAGCCACTATGCTACCAGAGTTCCTTTCTAGTTTTTTAACCAATGGTAAATGCTTTTACTGTTACTTTTTCAAATCAGTGACAGGAATACTATTACATTTGTATGAAGATGGGAATCAGCTACTTTGACTTTAAGAGCTTGTATTAAATTCTAGGAAGATAGACAGAAGACTTATGGGGGAGTTGAAATCTACTACATAGAGAACTAGCTCTAGTTGACTTTGTGTGACAAATTAGATACTTGTACAATACTTAGTCTCCTTCATTTTTTTCTGTCCCACAGGTGAACGGCCCTTCCACTGTAACCAGTGTGGAGCTTCCTTTACTCAGAAGGGCAACCTTCTGAGGCACATAAAGTTACACTCTGGCGAGAAGCCGTTCAAATGTCCTTTCTGCAGCTACGCCTGTAGAAGAAGGGACGCCCTCACAGGACACCTCAGGACCCACTCTGGTAAGTGTCACCAACTCTGAAGAGACAGCTAAAGTATGTGAATTCAGGAGGGTTCTGTAGATTAATATGAAATAATTTTGTAGCATTGATGTGTATCTAGCAATGAGCTAGACAATATTTTTATTTGTGCACATTAAAAACTGATAAGTACTACAAAACACATATAATCTTTCATTTTGAGTCTTACAGATTTGGCAAAAAGCAATATTGTCAACTAGAGTCTCTTATTTAAAGCCATTGGGATAGAAATATCAGGTATTATATAAAATTTCTAGGATTTTTGTATTTTAAATCTTAATTACTAATTAGTAATACAGTGATTTTGGTTGATACAGGTGGCTTAGTTGCTTGGTGCTCCTATAACACAAATACTTCAAGTGGGTAACTTTAACAAGTAGAAACATAATTTCTTACAGTTTAGGAGACTAGAAGTCTGAATTCCAGGTGCTGGCTCTAAGGGAAGGCTCTTTCCCTCTGCCTCTTCTGAAGGAAGGGCCTTGTTCTTCCTAAGATTCTGCTCCTGGGAAGTCTTTATGTGGCTTGGCAGTTCTCTCAGCTTCTCTGACTACCTTGTTTTTGATATCTTTTATGCCTCAAAAGAAACTGAGTTATTGAGAGAAAAATGTGGAACAAAACTCAATACCATAAAAAAAGACTGGGCTTGTTTGTTGGATAGAAAAAGGTGGGACCCAAAGACTGTGGCCCTTAATTTCCTCTTCTGGGCTGGAAATGACCCCTAGGCTCCATTTTGAGCCAAACCATATAAGAGGAGCAGTAGCACTAGGGAGGTACTCATGCCTTAGAATAATCAAGCATCTGAGACCAAAAGGATTGCATTTACCCCAAAACAAAGAAAGGTCAGAAGGGTTATGAAAGAGAGGAATGAAAGTGGGAACCACAGGGAGAAAGTGGGGTGAGGGATGTTACATTGTGGGGATGTTGTTGTTGTTAAGTGCCATTGAGTTCTGACCCATAGTGACCCTGTATAGAGTTTCCAAGGAATAGCTGGTGAAGTTGAACCACCAATCCTGTGGTTCAAAATGACTTTGCAGTCCAGTGCATTAACCCACAATGCCACATCCAGACTCTAATTGTGGGCGTAGCAATCAATAATATGAAACAAAATGTGTATGAATTGTTGAATAGAAAACTGATCTGCTCTCTAAACCTTCATCCAATTCACAGTAAAAAGTTAAAAAACCAAAAATAAAAAAATTTGACTCATGACATACCCTATACTAATCCACCTCATTAAATAAAAAAGATAGTGTTTCTTAAATGGGATTACAACCATAGATATGTTGTTGTTGTTAAGTGCCTTCAAGTTGGTTCTGACCCATAACAACCCTGTATAGGGTTTCCAAGGAGTGGCTGGTGAGCTTGAACCATCGACTTTGCAATTCAAACTGACCTTGCAGACCAGTGCATTAACCAGTAGAGGTTAGGATTTATAACACATTATTGAAGGAAGAATTTAGTCTATAGTTGATCTTCAATTAAATATCACAGTTAACATACTCTATAGTTACTACATAGAAGATGAAGCTATATTTTTTGCTTATATTGTGTCCAGGCTGGGACCTTATGGGAATCAAATATTGCTATTTATAAACTAGAAAATGTAATGCTCATTAGAATATGTACCCTCCATTTTCACTTTCTTTGCTTCTTTAGTTCTTGAATTACAGTCATTAGGCATTATCTAAAGCTCTTCTGTTTCATAAATCATGATTAAAATTATTATCATTACAGAATAAGTCTGATTAAAAACAAAGCAAAACAAAAACATCAGAATAGAGTAGATAAAAGAGAAAATGATTAGGAAGTCTGAATGAATCGCATTTAACTTTTAGCATGAATTGCCATAACCAAGAAGCTAAAGGTGGAAAATTAACAGAACACTTTCAAGTCAATTTTATATGCTCCTTCTACCAATAATGACATTTAAAATTTTAATTTTAATATGAAGACATAATAGAAGTGATATTTTCATCTCCATTGACAAATTGCATTAGAGAATGCTGTGGGTTGTGAGGTAATGCTTGATTTATCTTTCTTTACCTTATTCTTTCTTATTAACCCTCAATGCTCTACTTAGGCTTTTAGCATGACTATGAAATATGTAAAGCTATTTTAAGCATAAATCATAAACTTGAGGCAATTGTCAAAAGTGAAGGTAATACAAATATAAAACAATATATTTTACTTTTCCTGATTCAAACTATTTCTCTTATTGGCCCTTGTAGCATTCTATATTAAAATTGTATTCATAAAGTGATATTATTTTATTACAAAAAGTTTTCTTTATCTTGAAGATATGATGAGTATTTCTATTAGGTTTATGTTCTGAATTTTAATATGTTATTGAGTTGCAGAATTTTGCAACATACAGCTTATAATGAACATTTCTACTACATGAAGTTGTGGCAGAAATATCACTATAAAAATCTAATGTAATTCTTTCCACTATGTTGTTGTATTGTTAAGTGCCATCTAGTCAATTCCAACTCATAGCAACCCAATGTAGGGTTTCTGAGGAGCAGCTGTTGGGTTTGAACTGCTAACCTTGCGATTAGCAATCCAGTACCTGTCCTATAGCACCACACTAGGACTCCTTACACAATGTACTGTTTCAAGTATGTATTTAGTATGCACATGTTATGTTATGTTACTGATCCTGGTAAATAAAGTCCCTGTGACTACTATCATGGTGATTGTTATACCAAGTCATGATTTTTTACAGATGTGTAAACAGATTGCGTACTCAAACTGACGAATTAAGAGAGCTTAATAGAGTTACTATTGACAAGGATGTGGGTGACATTAAGGGAAAACAAAAGGGGCTTGTCATAATAGCAGCACTTTATGGCTCCTCCCAGTCCTCAGCCTGATGAAGAAGGGTACAGAATAGTAACCAAGAACCCTGAGAAGCGAAAGAGCTTTGGCTGTAGACTAAACTGCCATACAAGTATTCTGTAAGAATTCTTTAAGAAATGTTGCCAGTGCCAACCGAAATACCTGATTTCACTCTTCATCCTCCAGTCTCCTACTTGGCCTTCTATTGGCTGAAAATAGCCAGAATCTAGAAAAAGAGTCTTTGATGAAGTCCATTAATGTCATCTTCTTCAGAGCATAGAGAAAGTGGAGAAGAGTAGAAGGGTGGATCTGGAGGAGCAGAGGGAGCATATCTAACACAGTCCCTTCTTTGTCCCTCAGCATCCATTTTTGTCCTTTGTCCAGATGAAACACTTAGAACATAAATATTAGCCACCACCAGGGATAAAAAGGGGATTTTTTTTTTTAAAAAAGAAAGAAACATTTAACAGGTATAGCTGCTGAAATCCATACTTCTCTAGTTGGTCAATAAACGTTCAAGTTAATGGTTATAGTTTTCTTCTTTCATTACTAATTACATCTTCCTCTTCCTCTTGTTCTTATCATCTGGGCTGGACAGGTTTCTCTAGCTGATGAGTGACCCAGTGGCTTATGTGATCATTAGAGTGGCCACTCCCACCTTCTCTTTGACTGTATGTTCTGACTCTCAAAGAGATGGCTTTCAGTATATACCATATTCACAGGACACATCTAAACCTTTTCCAGATAGCACCCATACAAGAATTACTCCATGGACAAACCATTTCACCACTTCATTTAGTAAGCTGGATTCTGGATGACAGGACATAGATGTGACTAGTGAATTCTATGTGTTTGAGCCCAATGCTGTACTTCCTTAATACAGTAAGAAATACCTTGATCATTGGTAAGATATTCAGTTAAATTTAAGCATGGTGGAGCTGGCAAAGACATTGAAGGAAGGGAAGACAAAACCACATCCTAAATATATATCTATTTCTGTGAGGATAAATTGCTGCCTACTCCATGTTATCAGGAACCCAAAATAGCCTACCTGCCATTAATTGACTGGTTGGTCCCCATGAGGATTGGTGTCATATCGAGGTCTCAGCATTGGGAAGTTGGAAACGCAGCAGTGCTGGTGGTTAAATCAGTCATAGATAGGAGTCCATGCTACCGATTCTATATACGGTTTCCATCTATGGTAAATGTGTACATGGTCCATTGAGCAAGCAGCAGGGTAGTCAGGTAAAGAATCTGAGTAATAAGGGACTTCACCTGGTCCAGAGTACTAAGAACCTCCTTCACAGTGGATGAAATTTACGTAGAGGAAAATACATAGGACCCATGTTGCCACCATTTGTACTGATTCTGAGAGATGCATTCATAATAACTCCTCGACAGTTTTTTGTCATCAGTAATCCAGTCTTATTCTTCCAAGCCTCTGACCATGCGGTTATGCCCCATGTCATTACCCCAGCTATCTCGCCTTCCATGTACAGTGTACAATCAAATGTGCTGTCTGAAGTTCCACCTGCCGGGGTAATATGCTTTTAAGCACTGCAGGAGCATTTCCGGGTCAGACACCTTAAGTGGGGCTAAAATAAAAGTCACAGCTTGTACTGTTGTCCACACAATACATTTGCAAACCAGGTGTACATGTTTTCATCCTCCATTCATTGATCATTGAGAGTTCCCCATGAGGCCATACATGTGGGTTGAAAGAGAGATTGTGAAGCAGTAGAAGCAGGTATCAGGGACATCTGAGCTACTTGCTATTGCAGTCCACTTGGGCTTCCCAAACCTGCTTGGTCCCAGTTTCATTTGATAATGCAATGCTACTGTGCAACCTAGGTTGTTGATACGATATGATGATAGAATTCAGATAACACCCATTCATGATGGGCAGTTTGGGGCCCATAGTGATTTAAAGTCTCATGACCTGGTACTTAGTCTTAGCCAAGATCCAGTAGTAAGTCCGAAGCTGCTTTTCAAGTGGAGAATAGCTGTTGGTGGAAGATATGGCAACTCCACAACCTTTAGGGAGTTGCACTCTGATGTACCTATTGATGGAAGGAATTGCTGTATAGCATCTCTATTTGCCATACACATTTGCAAAAATCATTGTACCTGCTGAATCTCAGGGT